GCCTAGAATATTTTACTCACATTATCTTACTTAACTCTTAACACAATCCTGTGAGATAGATATTACTATTCCCGTTGTTAAAATGAGAAAACTGAAGCTAAAAGAGGTTAAGAATTTGTTCAAGTGGAAGAAACAGGATTTGAACACACGGCTGTCTAAATCCAGGCTCCCCATTCTTCCCATGTAGCCTTCTGCACTCGAGAAACAGTGAAGCAGAATTGGAGCTATTTATTAGTTGGTAAGGAGAAATGACAGCCACCTTCAACTCTACAAAGGGCTATGAGTGGAAACATTTTGTGTGGCTTGAAAGGGAAGAATTTGAATGGCTTTGGAAGTCTCAGGAATGTCGATTTTTAGCTCAAAGGAAGAATATTTTACTGCTGGCAAGAACTGGATGGACTCTTGGGTAGGGACATCAATTCCTTGTGCTTGCAGGTGTCGAGCATGGTCTAGAAAGGCATTTGCTTACAACGGGGAGGAGATTTGGGTGGAGAACCTCAAAGTTCATCTTTGATCCTTAGATTCATGAGCCTATGAAGCTGCCTGGCAGAAAGAGATCAATCTCTTCAAAAGAAGTGAAAATATCTATTGGTTTGTCTATTTGCAGATATATAAGCAAAAATTATATGCCTGAGGTAAACACATTGGTCCATGAGAAAACTAAACACAGAAAATGAAATGGATTCTGCTGGAACTGATTAAAGGTTTTAAAGAAGTTTTCTTTTTCTATACAGAAGTAGCCAAACCCTGGAGTGATATGTAGTCTTGGCTATAATCAAAGAAAATGTAACAAAGTGGTATTTTTCACCTCTTAAGTTGGCAAAATAATTTAAAAAGCTGTCACACTCATTATATGTATCAAGAGTGATGAAATTCAAGAAAGTCATTCCTTTTGACCCAGGTACAGCCACTCTCAGAAAACAAGGGAAAATACAAAGAAAAAACACTGTGAAACAGAAAAATCTTCATCTGCATTTAATTTGTAGAGTCTAAAAATCAAAGGTAGTGTAAATGGGCCACTTGTGTGGCAGTGAGGAGGGGCTGAGGTAGGAGAGGGGAGCAGGAAGCCGAGGAGTGAGCTGGTCAGCATGCACAGGGGAAATCCCCCATGCACTGAGAACCATGGGATAAGCAGAAGATGTCCAGAGAGCCAAAAGTGGGTATGAAAGCCAAGGTCACTGCATACCGGGTCTGCAGGTTAGGAGAGCACACTCCAGTGGGGAATTAACAGGTGCAGGAAGAGAAGGGAGGTGAGGAATCCCAACATGAACACTGATGGCTATTTAGCCCCTCTCTTGCTGGGGCACATTAATAACATTCTCATTATGCCTAATCACCCCATAACTAGACCTTATTTCCTTCATTTTGCAGATGAAGAAGCTGGTGTTAAGAAATACAAGTAACTTGCCTCAAGTAAAGTGGTAAGTGCTAGAATTGGGAACTAAACTTGCATGCATCTGCCTCCTAATTAGCTCGCTTTATCCCTGTGCATGATGAAAAGTGTGCAGCCAGGTCCTTCACAAATTCCAGATCTGTGGGTTAGGGCTTGGGAAGCTGACCAGGTGGTTACTCAATTGCAGCTTTATGTCGGTCCACTTTACGGATGTCAGAACTGATAGTTATGAATTTTATGGAGCAATGGTGAAACATGTGAAATGCAAAGGGCAGGATACAAACCTCATTGTGTGCTATCATCATAGGCATGGAAAATACGTATTTTCACCCTTGAAAAAAGACTACATAAGATACATTAGCATGCTGTCAGTAGTGCAGTTTGGAGAATATTTCCTATTTTTGTCAATAATTTCTATAGTTTTTCTCTATAATTACAAAAAAATTGCAAGTTAGAAATGCCTACAGGAAGCATACAAGCACCTAAAAGTCACCAGTATACTTTCCTCAGCAAGGAAATAAAGCCAAGTCCCCTCTTTTGGCTTCATCTGGTATCAGAAAACTTCTTGCCAGGGCTTCTGAAGACAGTGCCCAAACCTCACTGATTCAGGTCCTGCCAATTCAGTATTGACAGTCTTCTATACAACTCACTGGCCTGGCACAGGAATCCAAAGAATCTAAGAGTACAAGTGAGGGAAAAATCATTTCAGCCTAGACAGAAAGTCACCCTCTGCATTGTGTCCAGCTGAACAGCATTTGGTAGCCATGAAGAGGAATTATAAATAGCTGTTAGGTCAGAATCTCAGTTACTTAAGAAATTTATTCTCAATTTTGAATATCCTCAGGCACATTTGAAAGACCCTCAGTTTGTTTGCTCCCCTCCTTTTTTTTTTAAATATAGGGAACACTCTTATTCCTTCGTTTTAATGAAGGTCTTCCAATGACTTTAACTGGTACTTTTCAATAGTGACATCTGTGTTAAAATACATGTTCCCGAACTTATCCCAGACCTACCGAATCAGGCTCTCCAAGCCAAAGCATAGGAAATCTGCGTTTTAAGCACCCCTGTCAATTCTTAAGATTGGGCAAGTTTGGGAAACACTCTACCAAACACAATCAATTTGGGTTTTGTATATGCATTTGAATGTAATAAAACTGTGAATCTTTATAAGCAGTACTATCATTCCCAGTCCCTCCAAATGGCCTAAATTAGTAAGACTGATTTCCATTGCTAACACTTAGGTTGGGTTTGCCCTAAACATATACTGAGATTATGTGACTAGATTCTCAGCCTAGATCATAATTTTCCACTCATATCTCAGTAAAGAGGTAAAAGGGCAGGTTTTTCACAGAACTGAATTCTGATCCAACTCCACTGCTGACAGCTCCAGAATCTTGAGAAAGAAATTATTTAACCTCTTTCAAGCCCAAGCCCATTACTTCATTTGTATGGGTTTAAGAATGCTGGTGTAGCCCTCGTATTACAATAACAGGGCACCTGGTACATAACAGAGGCCAAACCATCTCAGTCTAGTGTGTGAAACCTCCTCATTACATCAGAATTGGCTCTTAGAAGCGCGATTCCTTGTTGCACCTACTTCTGTTTTCATTCTGCCTTCTATGTTAAGGATACTAACAAACTTCTCCAAGGGTCTTTGTGATTTAGAGCCCTTTTTCCAGATATCTAGATTGCTCTCCACAACAACCTAAATTAGGGGTCATTCTCTCCTTCCTAGAAGAAACAAGGCCCAGAGGTCAAGTGACCTGCCTGGAAGTGGCGGAGACAGGATTTAAACCCAGAACCCACAATCTTTAAGTGCCCTGATCTCCTGAATATGCATCAAACATTACACAAAACACTTTCAACTATATCAGACCATTTTCACTGTAGTTATTTCCACAACTATCTCCCCCACTAACCTAAAAGCACTTGCAAAGCAGGTACCACATTTTATTTGTCTTTAAGAAAAAATGCAGAGCCCAAAAGGGGATGAGCTCAACAATGATGCAAACTTTTTTTCCAGCCTCTCATGCATTCCACACAACTCATGCCTGAGCTTCCCCATGTCCTGAAATGGATATGTCTTACCAAATACTTATTGAACATCTATCTACTGTTACGAACTTTACTTACCTCGTGCAATGAGTGAAACACTATGTTAAACACTTAGAAAAGTCTTGACACATATTGTTACTATTCATAGTATTAAGTTATCCACATGGCCTATGAGGCAGGCATTATTTTCCTCTTTATATGGATAAGAACTCTGAGAATAAGTTAACTAAAATAAAAGTCAATTAAAATAAAAGTTCTCAAAATAGCACCCACCTCTCCTACTTACTCCAGTGACCCTGAGCTTTTGGTTACAGACTACCAATTAACGGATGAACAATTAGCGAAACCAGAGGCCAGTTTTCTAACCAATGACTAACAGCCAATAATCAGAAATGAAGATAATAACAGTTGCCAACATTTATTGAACACTTAATTATTGAACACTTAGGTTATCTCTAATCCTTGCAGCACCTCCGAAAGGTAGCTAGTATCTCCTTTTTGTGAAATAGAAAATGGAAACTCAAGAGAGAACAGGTTAAGCCCAAAGCAGGCACGGGAGTCAGGCTTGGAATCTAGACACACTGGCCCAAAGTCCTCACCCTTTCTAACATGCCATGTATAATTCACAGGCATTAGAGAAAGCAAAGTGCAAATCAACAGGGAGTCCTAACGTGGTTTGCCAGAATGTGTGCCAGGCACCTTAGAGACTCATAACTGATAAAGAATGAGATAGAAATTATGTAACTTGAAAGAACATTTGAGAAACAAGATAGGATGAAAGAACTGACAGCAGGTAACATTGCCCCTACTTCCTGAATGTAACCCTATACTCATCTAACATTATCACTCCTTTACAAAGACTGATTCAAATTATTAGGGAAGCTGAATCTCAGATCACCTTGAGTGAGAAAGGTGATTGGTCTAAGAGCTGGCCTTTGAAGTCAAAGTAATTTGCGTTTGAGACAGCCCTTCAGATCTGTAGACAGCAACCACATCTCTTAGGAATTTTTTCTCCTTCAGCCAAATGTTCCTCCCCTGAAAGGAAGGGCATGCCAGGCTGCCCAACTCACTGGTCACCTCCAGTGTACACGCAATATATTAAATAAATAAATAAGGATAAAAACTGTCTACATGCCAGGCTGTACCACACACTGGTCACCTCCACTGTGTATGCAATATGCTAAATAAATGAGGATAAAGATTGTCTACACCAAGAATTAATGAAACTTTATTATAGAACAAAATAGAGGAACAGAGAAGTCCTTGGATGGTGAAAATATCCATTCAAATCCCAGTCAAGTGACAGGCAACTCAGAGATACCTTATCCCCCTCCAAGAAGAGTGTTTTCCCCATTCCCAGAAGGACACTGGTGCCAGGCTGCTCCTGAGTCTCAGCAAAGCCATCTGTCTTCTTTGGAGTGTCCACACTCAATAAGCCGCTGACCCCAGAACCCGACTGGATCCCTGCCCACACACCACCGTGCATGGTGGGGTCTGATTTGGACGGCACTGTCGCTCGCAAATTACACGCCACACAAGGAAAACACGAAAGCTTTATGAAAAATCCAAAGTTTATTGCAAATTGTATTTTGCTTCCCTTCGTTCTTCATTTTTACAGGATTTATTGATATCCATGATTTTTTCACAGATGTACTTGTTGACTTTGGAGAGTCTCTGTGCAATTTCAGTTTCATCCACAGTTTCTTGTGCTATTCTGTCATATAAACACTCTAGACAGGGAGAAGAAACAAGGCCAAGGATTAATGGTGAATTCGAGTAAAAATCTTTCAGGTAGAGTAAAAGAAAATGTGCCTCTCAATGTACTTCGCAAATACCAATTCACATATCTGGCATAGCTATATTTTTAAATTTGCATCAGAGAATGTACTTAGAAAAGAGAAGATATACAGTGTAAATGTACACTTCAAAAGTAATGATAAAGCACCATGTGCCCACCACTCAGTGTAGCAGGATATTATTGGTTCCTCCCAAACACCTGATGCCTCTCCCTAATTCTTTCCTCTCCACCAGATAACCACTCCTGAACTTTTGCTTTTTTTTCTTTTAGTGTTAACACATGTATATATCCTTAAGTAACATATAGTTTATTTTCCATTTTCAATCTTTTTATAAATGCACCTACTCTATATATCATCCTGACTTGCTTTTTTTTTTTTTTTTTTTTTTTTAACCACTCAAATGTTGCAGTTTTGAGATGTACTCATGAGGAATATAGTTGCAGGTCATTCATTTTCACTGATGAGTAGTGTTCTATTGTATGGCTCTATCACAATTTGTTTATCCATTTTATTGTCCATGGATTCTTGGTTTTGCAATTAAAAACACCCTGGCATACGGCTCTGGGGAACACATGCGAGAAATTCTCCAGTATCAGCCTAGGCATGGACTTGCTGAATGTTAAGATGTTTGCCTATTCAACTTTATTAGTAATGCCTGGTAAACTGTTTTCCAAAGTGGGTTTGCTGGCACTCCTAGCAACAGTGTATGCAGGTAGTACTGGTGGCCCCATTTCAATAACACTTGACATTGTCACATTATTAAGGTTCTGACAACCTGGTGGGTGTGAAGTAGTGTCTCACTGCTGCGATTACTAATGAGGCTCAGTACTGCCACTCTCTTACTGAGGCTCTACCATTTGCTGTGATAAAGCAAAAAGCCAACTCCAGACAAGGTCTGGCTGGAGCCTGATTTCAACTGACTGCCTAGCCTGGGGCCCTGGTACAAATCTTTGCCCTAGATTCCTCACCTCATAAATAAGGATAACAAACTACAGGGTATTTTTTTTTTTTAATGCTGCCATGAGGCATGTGGGATAAACATGTTGCCTTTTTCGAGTTGTAAGGAATACCACCCCTGAATGGGGTTGTTTTGATTATTTCATGTATTTATACCTATTGATTCCTAGGGCCTAACACAGTGTTTGGTACAGGGGCAAGATTAAGTAAAAATATGTTAAATGATTGAATAAATGCTTTTCCAGAGAAATCTGAGGGAATACAAATATTCTGGAGAGAAGAGGACTAGGGTGCGGGTGGTGAAGTTGCCACGGGAGTGTGTAATAATGGGCAAAACCCTTAACTTCTATGAGCCTGAGTTTTCTCAGCTAAGCAGGAATGACAATCCAATCTTGAGGAATTGCTATGGAGACCAATACAATCTCGTCAATACCAAGCCAGCTCAGAACAGGTGATTGTCTCAGATGCAGAATGTCAGCACTAGAAGGGATCGTTAGGACTAACCTGTGCTAACCCCTCCACTAACATCTGAGAAGCCTGAGGCCTGGAGAAAGGCAACAGGGATGGGGCAGAATCCACTGCTGCCTCCCCACACACTGGGCCCTTCCCTGGACACGCAGCCAGCCAGTCTGCCTCCTGTTGCCATCTGTGCTGTAGGCACACCTGCTATAAGCGTTCTTTCTCCGAGGCACCCTTTTGTTTCCACCGAGAAGGGTTTTGCACAAAGAAGCTTTTTAAAAGCTTTTAATTGACCTCTACCAGTCACTTCCTGACTACTTCCAAGCCTGGCTAATCCTCACTTCATCTTGTCTTGGCCTTTCCATAAGGACTGAGAGGCAGGAAGGTAGGAGGCCCCGTCTCTCCAGTTCCATCTCTGCTATATTAGTCATCATCAATTCCCGTCTTTTCCAACCTATTCCACCTATCAGTGACTTTGCTCATCTCTGCTTAAGTCCTTACCCTTCACCTGCCTAAGTTCTACTCATTCTTCCAGATTCAGCCATCTTGAAACCTAGTATCAGATTGCATTGGGAGACTCCACTCTGCCTATAACTCTGCTCCCACACCTATCTGGGTTTTCCTGTCAAAGCACTAGTCACAATCTAATAAAGCTGTAACCACATTGTCTCCCCACACACACTGGGACACTAAGGCATTCCCTCTCCACCTCTGGGCCAGGAGAAAACAAACACACGCAGTGACTTTGTAGGAACCTGAACCAAGTGAGGGAGACAGCCTGTGATGAGAACTGCTTAGAATTTGAGATATTCAAATCTGATTCAAACCCTAGATGCTGTGTGACCTCTAGAGGGGACTTCTCTGGGTCTCAGTTTCACTATCTACAAAAGTAGCATGTCAAACTAGAGAATCTAAGAAGACTTCCCCCAGCTTGGAGTCTCTAATTGTCTGCAAGGTAATAATGGCAGGTCAAGAGGCAAAGAAGACAGGAGGGGAAGGCAGGAGACGGTATAGTGGCCCTGACGGCCCCTAGCATTAGTCAGAGAAGAGGTAGAAGGAGAAAGGCTTCGGAGGAGCCCCCACAGAATTTCAATCATTCTCATTTCCTGCGGGTAACAGCACTGAACGAAGGGCTCCTCAGGTTGATTAAAAGGCTTTCGTTAGACTCTAGATATTAATCACCTGCAGTTGCCGGGAATGTCTCCCTCTGCGAGGCAGCATTTGAGATTATTGCTTAATTAACAAGGTTTATAACAGTGCTAATGTGTCCTATTAAAAAAGTTATAAAAATTAACCAGAAAGCAATGCTGAGGCTCATTTAGAAAACTCAGACGCTCGGCAAAAGGTCATTTGACCTTAATAGGTTGAACTGTCATTCTGAAGCTTGTCATTAGAGAAAGACTCTGCTTCAGCTCTCTTGCTTTTATCTTTCCAAAGCAGCGTCAATGTTTGTCCCATCCTTCTGCTATCCGGTAAGGAATTATTTTAAAATCAAAGAGAAGAAGGAATCCTCACCAATGCTGTGAGCATAAAGGTTTTTTCTATTTTTTTTTTAATATGGCAAATGTGACTACATATGAGAAAATCAGACAAAATAAATACAATCGCAATCCAGCAGACAGCTTTCATGGGAAGAACCAGCCAAATGCAAACTGGAATAGCTCAAATAATTAGGCTAAAAACAGTGGTTATATCGTGGGATAGGAGACAGACGTCAAACCTGCCGCTCTTTAGTAAAAATAATAATAAAAAAATCAATACTATATTTCAGTAATACAAGAAACCTCTGGTGACAGCAGGAAGCCTGAAACCCCAGCTCAGCTTGGCTGTCTCTAATCAGATATATGGCCTTAGACAAGTCAACTTCTTTCTCATTCATGTACATGGCAAGCATTTACAGGAAATAAGGGTTAAACAAGGCTCCTAGGAGGCAAAGATACAGTAAGAAGAGAACTGAGGTAGGCACTGGGTGATCTTGGATGAATGACAGAAGCATCCATCCACCCTAAAAGGTCCGAGATGACTTCCTGAAGGCAGGCTCACCTACCTAAGCAGATCTGGGTGTAAGCAGCATCTAGCCAGGCAAAGCAGCACAGATGGAAGGTAGGTAGTGTGACCTGTGTTCCAGGCATCCAGAAAAGTATCTGCAAATTCCCCAAGGTTACAGGGAACAAGCCTTCTTCAGGGAATACAGCAGTTCACCGTGATAATAACGTTAAGAGTTCAAGGGGAATACTGCTGAAAAATAATACTGGAGATACAGCCAGGAACCAGATTACAAGGTGCTTTTATGGCATGTTAAGAAGCTTACCCTTTAATAATGAACATTCTGAACAGGCTTTGACCAGGTGGTGGTCAAGGGATATCTGTTTTCTGAAGATTGCTCTGGTTACATAAGAGAGGAGGCTGGAAGCTGCCAGAGTCATGGAGGGGAAAAACGAGTGTGGGCTATGATAAGGGCAGTAGCTATGGAGAGACGCAGATGGTTCTTTCCATATTTGGAAAAAGTAAAGAAATTTTAAAATGGCTTGGAAAATGGGGGAGTGGATCAGCAGTGGTTTAAGAGAGATTTGGGGGCCAAACAGATGGGTAGTGAGGGATGTGGAGGAGTCAAGGATGAAGCCTGGGTGCCTGGCTGGTGGTACTACTCACCAAGACAGGGAACACAGAAGAGGCAGAAGGCTTCACAGAGAAGGAGAGAAAAAAAGATAGAGAAGTGAGCAGTGCAGTCTGTCAATGCCATTGGACATCTGTGAAGAGATGACCAGCGGGCACTTGGATATATAGATTAAGAAATCCGAAGTGTGAATTGAGGTCAAATACAGATTTGAGAATCATCATTGACTGAATCAACACATATGTACTGAGCGCTTACTATAGGCTAGCCCTGAATAATATGCTTGTAAAGTTTAATTGTAACGGAAGCGGGAGAAGAAAGAAAGTTATCAAGTAAAAAAAGTAAATAGGAAATGCTATACGGAGACTTGAAGTAGGGTGAGGCGACAGACAGCAATGGAGAGGCCACTTTAAACTAAGTGGCTGCGGAGGCCTCTCTCAGTGACAGCGAGGAGGGCATGCGTGCAGATCAGGAGCAAGGGAGCAGGAATAGGAAGGAGTGAAAGAAGAACTCCAAGGCCACAGCATGGCGGCAAACGGGAAGTGTGACACAAGATGATGTCAGAGGCGTCCCAAAGGCAGATCATCTGTAACAGCTGAGAAGTATGGATTTCAACCCAGAGCCAAGGGCACATTGAAAGCAATGGGAACAACAGGAAGCAAGAAGAGAAGCTGAGGAATGCTTGGCAGGATCAGAGAGAAGAGGGTTGGAGACAAAGGGGCGGCCCATCAAGGAGACTGAGAAACCAGAAAGATGGGAAGAAACCCCAGCGTGCAGAACAGGTTTCTCAGTGAAGGAGGAATGGTCGTGTCAAACAGGGCCAGTGAGAGTGTGAGAAACGCATGAGGATTTAGTTACAAGGAAGTCACTGGGGACCTTGGTGAAAACAGATCAAGCAGAAGGCTGGGAGGCCGAGGCAAATGGCAAGGGCATTAGCAGGGAACACAGTGGGTGCAACTAGTCTTTCCAGGAGCCTGGATGTGAAAGAAGGGAGATATGACAGCAGCTGGGTGACAGAGTGCCCTTTCAGGAGGGTTTCTTTGCTTTTGTAAGAAATGAATGATCAAGTATATTTAAACGATGCTGGGAAGGAATCAGTAGAGCAGGAATACAACTGAAGGAACAAGGTACTTAGGAAGGCAGGTGGATTGAAATCCAGAGCTCAGGTGGAGAGAATCACCAGCCCTCCAAAAAAGAAATAAATCTTTTGGGACAGGAGGCAGGAAAATTGAAGACATAATTAAGTCTGTAGGTGTGATGCGTCAAAACTGTGGAAATTCCTTTACTTTAATCTGTGAAAGAAGAGACAAGGCCTATCTCTCAGATAGATGTGAACTATCATATGTGGAAAAAGCAAAAAATTTAAAAAGGGCTTGGAAAATGAGGGAGTTGATCAGGGAGGGAAACTCAGACAACTTGGCAGATGACGTGGAGTCCCAGCAGGGTTTGAAGCTAAGGAGTGTGTCATGGCCCAAGCCACATGGATGAGGTGTATTCTGCGTTGCTCCACTGCTGCAATCCTAGGCAGCCCTGACTGTGTTCAGAGGTAAGATCGTTTCAGCTCAGTTTTCAGCTAACAAATATGAAACATGGAGAGAAAGTGATTTACAAGAAATCACACTAACAGTTGGTCAGGGGATCAGCATGTAGGTCTCAGTGTTTCTTCTGTTCAACCTTCATTTACTGAGTGCCTACTCTATGCCAGGTATTGTGTTTGGCAAAGAGGCCACAGAGACGAGTCAAATATACTTCCCAGATCCCTGAGGCAGACACACAGCAGATGATTTTATACCATGTGATAATGGTAGAAACAGACAGTTATCTGAAGGCACCCAGGACCTCCTGAGTCATGTTCCAATAAGCACAGCAGAATTAGAGGTTGGTCACCTACCAGGCAGGGGAGGGCAGGGCAGGGGAGGACAGGGCAGGGCAGGGCTGCATCCCCAGGATGGCCTTTTTCTCAGGGTGACCTCCCAAATCAGGCTTCACCACTTCAGACAGCAGCTAGACCAAAGGTTACCTCTGATTATCCAAAAATAAGCAGCTGCCTAAATCAATTAATCTGGAGCCAGCCAGGCAAGGGAGGCAGCTGTGTTACAGCAGAACAAGCCCAGACCAGAGTTGGAGGGGAGTGTGTTTGAATCTAGGCTCAGAAACCTTAGAGTTGTGACCTCAGGTTGGCTACTTACCCTATGTCCTGCCACCTTGACCTCCAAAACATACCCTAAACCTGGGCATATTTCTCCACCTCCAGTGCTGTGCCCTTAGTCTATGGGCAGCAGCATCTCCCACCAAGAAGAGCACTGCGACGGCTTTGTGACTCATCTCCCACGTGGTCGCTCCGTGACCAGAAGACCTCCACTGCCCTCCTACTCTAGGAAACCCAAGCTGCTTCCTGTGGCCTTCCCAGCCCTACGAGACTGGCTCTCGCCCACTTCCCTGAACTCACTCTCCCTTCTTTTGCAGCCCAGTCATCTGGGGCTTCTTCACACCTGTAAGATGCCAGCCTTCACACCTGCTGCTTATTCTGCCTGTTCTGCCACCCCTCTGTCCTTTACCAGGATGACTCTTCCACATCCAGCTTGCAGTTCAATGTCACCTCCTCAAACAGACCTTCACCAACTACCCCAGAGAATGCAGCCCTCTCTGTCCTACCACAGCATGAGGAAGCTCACAGTACCTAAAATTATCGAACTCGTTCCTGGACATATTTGTTGTCTGCCCCAGAGTCTGCTGAAAACATACGTGTTAACTGACTGAGGCTTACTTTCTTTATGAAAACATGGCAGACCTGGACACTGAGGGATCAGTAGTTAGGAGCACAGATTCTGAAGACAGCCTGCTAGCTCAGACTCCCAGCTCTCCTCCCACTAGCTGTAAAACCTGGTCAAGTTACTTAACATCTCTGTGTCTCAGTTTCCTTGTCTGTAAAATAGAATTATAATAGTAGCCAACAGTAGGCTTGTTAGGAGGATAATGAGTTAACATATATAAAAGTGCTTTTAAAAAGAAAACCATTAAAAGAAACACACCCCAAATCCTGAAACACAGTAAGGCCCTAAAATAATCAGGAATTGCTGTATTTTCTTTGCTCCCTCTACACCACTGTCTGTCTCTACAGTTTGTATTTTCTCTAGAGTAACTAGTTGTTTTTTGTGTTTACCTTCCCCATGAGACTATGAGCTCCTTGCAGATGGACGCTGTGTCTTATCCCTCTGTGTGTCCTCAATACCCAGTAGAGGGCCTGGCAAGGAATGGATGGGTGGAGAAAGGGTGGGAGAGAGGGAGGAAAGAAAAAAGGAAGGAAGAAAAGAAGGGAGGGAGGGAGAGAAAATTCAAGAGTCCGGGATACAGCCCTACCTTTAGGGAGACAAATGACTCCCTGTCTCTTTTCCTGCCCTCCGACCTCTCCCAAATACCAGAAAGGAAGCTGAATCTTTTGACTACCAGCTGGTCTTCATCTCATTCACTGCTCCAGGCACAATGCGAGAACTACCAAGACTTGCATCCCCTAGCCTCGATGTTTCCTGCTCTGGGTACACAGCAGGACTCCTTTCCCATCTCCATGCCTTCGTTCCAGATGCTTCTGCCTCCTGAAGCATAACACCTCACCATACACATCTGTGTCTCCGTATCCGTCAAAGCCCAGTTCAGTGACCCCCTTCCCCAGGAAGTCTTCCCTGATTTTCCAGCTAAGGGTATCCTCCCCTCCTGAGAACTCCCTTAGCACGCCATCTGTCCCTTTCTCATGCTAATTCATTGTGGAATATAATTGTACTTGTGTCCACAGCTCAACTGCCCTGGTAAATGTGAGCTCTTCCGGGGCATTTGGGTTATCTGCTCAGGTGTCCCGGGGCTCAGCCCAGGGCCTGGCATGCAGAGGCCTCATTAAGGAATCACTGAATTGAATTGTGTCTAATACATTCTTGACAGAGTAAAAGACAGAATCCCAGCCACTGTGTTTCCACTCAGTGACCTACCTCTGACGATGCTTAGTTTGTGAGGCGAGAGGGGTGGTTTAGGGACCGCATCTTTCTTTTTTTTTGTGGCGACTCCTGTGACGCTTCTGTTTTTCAGAACATCTGTTCCCCAAATCATAACTGCCAAGTTCTTCGTGTACTTGGAATCTCCTTGGGTTACTTGTAGCTGGTGCCATTTCTCCTCATCAACCCAAATCCCGCTTCCCAGATGGACCTGAGAGGAATAGGAACACCAGCACCTGTTTAGTCCGACAGGAGGGCAGTGGGAGGCTCCTCGTGTCCTTTAAAAAGCATTGCTGCACAACTGTAAGAGATTCACGTCATAAATAAAAGTTAACTCTCTTTAAGGGTGATCGTAATAGCTATCATCTACTGAATACCTGTAGTGTGCCAGGCCTTATTCCAGTGCTTTATATTTGCTATCTCAAATGTTTATGCCAACTGTGGATAGAAGGCCTTAAAACACCATTTTCCTTTCAGATGGAAAAACCAGGTTTAGAAAGGTGAGGTGACTTGCCAAGTATCACTCAACTAGTAAGTGGCAGAGTTGAGATTCTACACTATACTTGGGTTATCACTAGACTGCTCAGAGCCTGACCAAATCTCAGAATACACATGCCTAAATTCTGTGTTACGTACGGAAAGACTCATCTTCCTCTAATGTGAACATTCTGGGACATACATCTTCCTAGCCTGGTTGGTCTCAACCTTGGCTGCACACAGCGGTCAACTGGGGAGCTGGAAAAATCACCAGTGCCAGTCGTGTGTGGTGGCTCACACCTGTAATCCCAGCACTTTGGGAGGCCAAGGCGGGCAGATCACCAGGTCAGGAGATCAAGACCATCCTGGCTAACACGGGGAAACCTCACCTCTACTAAAAACACAACAAATTTGCCGGGCATGGTGGCACAAGCCTGTAGTCCCAGCTGCTCAGGAGGCTGAGGCAGGAGAATCGCTTGAACCTGGGAAGCAGAAGTTGCAGTGAGCCGAGATACTGCACTCTACCTTGAGTGATAGAGCGAGACTCCATCTCAAATAATAATAATAATAATAATAATAATAATCACCAGTGCCTGGACCCCACTTGCAGAGATTCTGATTTATTTGGACTGGGTGTGGCCTAAATACTTCCAGTGTGTGGCTGCATGTGAAAACCTCTGCCAGTGAGAGCACGGAGAGCAGGTGCCCTGCCGATTGGAGGGCTGTGCCAGTCCTTTCCCACCGCTGAGCTTCATTTCCCTGCCTATGACGTGGGAGAGCTGGATTTCATCTCCAAGTGCCTTCTGGCTCAAAACACCTATGATTTTAAACACAACACAAGGTACCCAGTTTGATTCTGACGGCACAAAGAACAAAATCCAATCTTATGCTCCCTATGAGTTTCAGTGCAGAGCCAATAAGACCCAGAATGTTCCAGCAGTAAGCTACAAGCTTGTAAATATGTTCTCCTTTCTGCATCTTCAGTAAATCTAAAAAAAAGTGAGTATAAAATTTAGATCTCACAAGTCATTTACTAACATGAAGAATTAAAAAATAGTGTCGCTTTGACATTGCCATTTATGTCGTACTGAGTCTGTGAGGGGAGGAAATGCCTCTGTGGGGATGGAGGGTGGCAGGTGCTAATGAGCTTAACTTTCTAAGGGGCATGAAAAGGATCTGCCAAAGGTCCCTGTTTTCAGAAATGCCTGCAGGTTGCCAAAATCACATGGTCAGAGACATCTCTGGAGAAGTCCTGGTCTAGGAGACTAGACGCATTCCCAACTAATGGCAGACCAGCAAGACCAATTGTTCAAAAAACAATTAAAGATCTTTCTACTACTGAAGCTTGGCTTGGGAGGGAAGGCGAGTACACACAGTCAGGCAGTCAGGTCAGCCAGCAACACTTCTTCCTTTACCAATTACTGAATTTTTCCAACCATCGAGAAGAAAAAAAAATAGCAACGTAGCCCACCCAGGAATGTAAGTAAACAATCCACCTGCACATCTGACTTCACCTCCTTTTGCTCAAAAGATCATTCAGGCTGCTGCAGGCAATCAGATAACTAGATCCACCTGGCCTCTCTGCGCTGTAAACTTCAGTACTGCAAATCTGTTCATCTGCTCAGGAAAGATAAGCAGTCCTGGAGTGAGATGTACTACCTGGCTGCTGGCTAGGCAACACGTACACCAAGGTCAGGCGTGGCCTTTTCTCCCCAGTTCAAACTGCAGGTGGGAAGTCTGTGTGCCAGATGGGGCACGCTGGGGACAAGTTCCCCACTGCTCCCCGTTGGACCCTGCATCACTTCCCTTGATGACACTTGAGGCCACCCACACAAGCTTCCTGAGATAGGAGAAAAACAAGGAACTTTGAATTATGTTCAATTCTGAATCAGAAAATCACAGAGATGCATGCCAACTTCAGATTTCTCAAAAATCTCTGCTTCTCCCTGACTCTTGCTTTCCTGTGATCTTTTAATTTGTTATTCTTGAAAGGGAGATGAAAGTCCTTTTAGTCAATGTTCTACAAGAGAAAAGGGGCACTAGTATTTTTTGAGTACCTGTAATTAACCAGGTACTGTACATTCAATTTATTTATTCCTCATGACCTTAAGAGATGGAAACAGGTAGAAATTATTTTCCCATTATACAGATGTAAACAGAGATTCAGAGGGACTGAATAACTTTTCCTAGGTACAGTCAATTTTGTAATCAAGATTCAAACCCAAATCCTGAAGCTTCTGCTCTCCCTGTCTTCCTTGCTGCCACTAAGGTGGTACTGACAGAGATGAAAGACAGCAGACCTAACACATCAATGTTCACTTAGTTTTCCTCTTGAATTTCCTCTGTATCTGCCTGGCTACTTCCCGTGCCAGTTGCCAGTGTAGTTCACCACCGCAGACAGGGAAGCCAGGAAATCAGCCACAGACTGGCCTTTGCCTCCGGTCCTTGCTCCCTCCAACCTGCCCACTCTATAATCACGACACATTAAGTTCCCTAAAACACCTCTTTCCCTGTTTGACTATATGACTTCTGCAGTCTTTCAACTGTGTTTTTATGTCAATCCTCTGGAATTCCGAATGGCTCTCTGTGTCCTACCACATAATCCAACTTCCTCAGCCTGGCTTTGAAGGCCCATTAGAATCCTTTGTTGTCTACTAATCTTCATTCACCTACTACATTTATCTACATAGTCCATCTACACTATAACATTCCTGAACTCGTCCATTTGCTGCTACTTCCAGTGTGCTATAACATCGAGAAGATGGGTGCTGGAGCTGCCGGCCCTGGGTGTAAATCTCAGTTCTTCTACCTGCTTGCTGGTTAATGTGGGCCAGTCACTTTACTTTTCTGAGCCTTACTTTTCTCAGCTACACAGTAGTACACCATTGCTACTTCAGAGAGTTGCTATGAGGGTTAAAAGAGAAAAGATGTGTAAAATGTCAGGAGGCCAGCAACTGTTACATCTTTTGCCCTCTTTCCCCTCCCAGTGTTTCTGTCCCTGCCATTCTCTTGCCCAGGAATAAATGTTTTCCCTATTTTCTTAAGCTTGCTAATCTTTCAAGTCTAAAATCCAAGAAACACTCCTTAATTACTGCAGGGCTAAGTTCTATCCCTTCTGAATTTCTAGTCCACTTAGAGCCACTACTACCTAATTCAGCCCTTCACAGTACCTGTCAGTGGGGAAGGTCAAGGCTTTGATGTCCCCTACAAAGTGATAAGGCCTAGGTTGTACACTAAGCAGTAAGAAATTGATGGGCATATTTATTGGCTTTACAAAACTGTTTTTTTTGCTTCTGATGAGCTGTTGTCCCTTGGAGAAGAAAATATTTTCTGACATTCACTCAAGTACAATGCCAACTTTAGAGCACAGAAAGAAATGGGCTTCCCTACGACCAATCACAGGTATATGCTGGGACATTTTAGACAAGGGCCCCTGAGGTTAGCAAGGCTCAAGGTTACCTGGAGCAGTGCTCAGCTTTTAGAGATGCAGCAGAACAGACCGGGAGAGCACTGGCCTGGGAACCAGGAGGTCTGGCTTTCAGCTCCTGCCTCTAACCTGTTATGTAATTGTAGAGGAGTCTGGATATGTTTCCCTATCCATACTATGTATAAATTAGGTTATTTAAAATTTAATGGTCTTTGCAGCTTTATGATTCAATGAGTTTTTGAAATAAAACATCTTAGACAAAGAAAAGCAATGCACTTTACCCAAATCAGAATTTCTGTGGCAAGCCCAATTCATGTAGACCACAGTATACTATTTGACCAAAGTGTTAGTGTTATGTGTCAAAGGAGGTTATTAAAAATATGGCATCCGGTAGGATGGAACTTGATCAAGTTATATTTTTGTGAAAAGTTTTATAGGACAAAACTCATTTCCTACTAGGAAATGTATCCCATTCGAATGCTCTAAGCCTTGCAGAGATTAAGGCCTCTGATCATGCAGACAGAAGGAAGGGTCAGAGAAGGCAGCAGAGCCACGAACAATGAGGGCTACTTCTGAGACATGGGAGATGCTGTTCTGGGAAGCTACCGTCATTTTCAGCGTGTCCACTTCCTTTCCTCTGCATTTAAAACTCTCTCTGCCTGACTACCAATTAGGTGCAAGCAAAATCCAAGTTAGTCTTGTAGCAACATGCTGGCAAAAACCAATGAAAAAACAAAACAGGCATTTTCAAGATTTGCTGTTCAACTCGTGTAAAAAAATGAGGTTTGAGAGACTCATTTTCTGGGGGAAGAATGCTATCTTTGCAAAAGAGACCCCCTATAATGCTCTGAAACTATCCATTAGCCTTCAAGGCAAGGGAGAAATAGATTTCTCTTGGAAGCTACCTTAAGAAAAACTCTCTAGTCACTCCACAATGTGGTCATGACTAAAAGGAAATCAACAAACATAGCATAGTCCTCTTTTATCTGATTGGGGAAGGTTCACCAAACTTAGATACACAGTGTGAATCAGAAAGGACTTTGGAAAGCATCAATCTGATCTCATCTTTCACAGATAAGGATGCTGAGACCCAGAGAAGTGAAGGACCTTTGCAAGGTCACACAGATACGACAGATGCAGAGCTATGCTAAGAACTCAGGCTCCAGGCTGCCAACTTTCAACCTGTCATGCCACCTCTCCTCTGCAAAGCTGATATTTCAAGCCTGTTGAAGGGAACAAGGCAAGGGAGAATGGGCCTATGGTCTGGCCCATCAGCTTTGCCTCTGCAGGGGAGGAAGCACTCGGTGGGAGACGCAGGGAATGACAGCACATCCAAGAGAGCCCTGAAAACTAATAGGTTTCATTTCCTCAGCTTGACAATATTTGCTTTGGCTCAGGTTGGCCAGTTGCAGAGACATATCTGGACAAACCCAAACAGAACAGATTTTTCTTTATCATCAACCCACCAGAGAATGATACTAAATAAACAGAGACCTTTTGAAGTACGAGGCAAGAAAAATGAACCGACACATATGACGTCTTAAGGAGAATGAGAGGTGATGTCTGTAATGCATGCCACGGTGGCAGAAAACATAACACGAAAGCTGAATTTCACCAGTGCCTACACAAAGGGCTCTGATATACTTCTTCAAAGACGAATTTGACTGAAGGTTAGAAGAATGTCAGAACAGTTTCCTCCCCCGCCCTGCTGCTATATAATCATGTGACTTTAAGATTTTTCAAAAGCTATTCCATTACTAATAGTGCTTAAGTTTTCATTCATCATTTGTTTTCAAGGTCATCTAAATAAATCTGAGGAGTTCTATGTGGCCCTAGAACTGCGGGCTAACCACTGCTGCATACATACAGCTCGAAGGAGGCTTAGGGATGGGGAGTATGTCTTCTTCACCCCTGTATTCCTGCTACCTAGCACAGGGCTTAGAACATGCGGATACTTTGTAAGCGGTGAATGAATACAAATTGAGTTGTTATCTGTAAATCAGATACTTCATTTTCAGTTCACCTCATAAATTTTAGGCATCTGGACTCATAGGAAGGTGGGACAAGTTTCATCAAACTATCATGGGAATTAAGAAACTTCTCATTAGTAAGTTATTTCAAAATGTCAATTTACTTTTATAGTTGCTTTGGCTTAATATTTTTTAAAAAAGTAAGAAAGAAAAAAAGGAAGAAGGAAGAGAAAATGCCCCAGCAAAGCTACGCTACTTATAATATACAAATTCCAGAAACATTCAGGGCTAGGCCAGGAGGCCAACCAGACAAGCTGTGTTTCGGAAAGCTCCCACCATACTCTCCATCTTTACTCTGACTGACAAACACTTGCAGGGAATGGATATTGAGCTTAAAACACTACCTTGCCATTGTCTAGGATATACTTGTCCATGACAGGCGCAGGAGCGGGGTAATAGGACGACGTATTTGCTTCCTCACTGAAAGTGCTCCGTAACTCCGGCTCGGGCTCGAGACATTCTGACTTTACTTTTTCCAGATCAATGGCGGGACCTAGGCAGTTAAGAAAAGAAATCTGTCTAGAACTCCAAGGAAAATAAAACGCAAATATTTTTAACTAGGCATCTATCAGCACATAGTGGCACAAAAAAAAAATATGCTAGCTTATTTTTGTCCATTGAACTACACTTAAACCCAGACTCGAAAATAATATGAGGTATGAATGTCACAAGGGAAAAGGTGGAAAACTGGAGACAAGAATGGACTAGACCCTAATGAAGTTTGAATGAGGAGCACGCTTCTAGGGTGTCATTGTCTAAATGGAAAGGCAGGGATTCAACTTCCTGCACAGGAAAGAGGTTCTGTTAGGTCTGGGTTGGAGAAGGGGTGGCAATTGCTGGAATATGCAAATTGTGTATTTGTCAAAATCCTCACCTCAATAGCCTACATTGGAGAAGGCCATAACAGAAGAAGGGAGCTTAGGAAAGCATGGGTAAAAATGTGAAGGCCTCCCCCTGCCCAAGACCTAGTATCTAGACAGGAGCATTTGAACCAACAAATTAAAACACAATACACATTAAGCCCCTGATTGCCTGATCCAGCAGCTACTCTGATTTCTATTTTAATGCAATCAACACAAATTACATGCAGTTTAAATAGCGAAAGGAAGCTAGATAAATGGTGATAGTTTCTAAGGGGGTTATTTTTTCTCCATTAGCTTTTAAAAATGGACTATTTTTTTAAATCACCTATTGTGTGTTGATTACTAAAGGGCAGAGAAACAGGATGAAAATGGGTAAATAAGGCCAAATGACTTGATTAACTTTTGTGGGAGAACAACTTCAAAGGCCAATATAATGTAACATGCTGAAAATTCTCCCCATGCAAACATTTCAGGAGTTGACTGAGATCAGAGATTTGGCTACTGCCATAGCAGCTCCATCTGCCTGTGCATGTAACTCAGGTGTAACAGATGAACTCACAGACCAGTCTTCTCTTTTGCTAGCCATGTGGACAACTGGGTACAAATCTATTTACGTATTAAAGCCCTTTGTAACAATCTGCTTGCAACTCTGTGTTCAGCTGACACATCCTAGACTTTGGTTGGTAGCAGTGAAGGTATTGGTGAATTTGTTACTAAAATTCCTCATGACACAACTTCCCAGAAGAGAATATCAATCCTGAGTTGCTGGCAGTTCCTAACTGAAAGACGGAATCTCTGTAGTCTCCTAAGATTTAAGAATGAAACCTGCACAAAGCTGAATGGAAGATGGTGGGGGAGCAGAACAGTGTAAATAAAAGACCTCGACTCATCTTGGTAGAGATTTCAGGTCCCATTTCTGGCTATGCTATATTTCAATTGTGTGACCACAGGTGAGTAAATTACAGATACAGAAGTTGGCAGAGAGAAGAACCAATAGCATCATAATTGTTCTGACAGCACTTCTCAAAAGGAGGTGCAGGAACTATTCAAGAGTTGGGCCTAGGTCTTATTCTTTCCTTTGTCCCCAGCACCTGGAGCTGAGTAGGTAATCTCTAAATGTTTGCTAAGTAAATAAAAGAATGACAATAATGAATGAGTAATTCTAAAGTTTCAGAAGCAAATGCCGAAGTTTCTTCTCTCTCTGTATGGGATCACAGGTTAAATTTTTGAGACACAAACAAATTCAAGTGGAGCATTTGATCTTTTCTCAGATCTGGGAAGAGGTAATTACTTAAATTTCCCCTAAAGCGCATGGCTGAGTTGGCATGTGAAGTCTCTTCTAGGTCTGACCTTCAGCCGCTAAAAAAAAAAAAAAAAAATGGCTGAGAGCAGGAGGTCCATGAAGCCACTCACAGTCATCTTTAGCAAGAACATGCCCTGCCTTTAAAGCCTCCTTTTCCTTCCATGAGATGATGAACAACTGAATGAATTCAGTCCAGCCATGACTTCAGCCTGATTCTCTCCTATCAGTCTCTATAAAGGCCTTCAAAGAGATCTTCCACATGACCCTGTCTTTCCTTGCTTAGGCTGCCCATTACCCACAAAATTAAGTCCCACAATATGGCCTCCATAAGGCCCAGAACAACCAGCCTCCTCTCTACCTCTAGGGTTCATTTCCTGCCCCCCACCAATATTGACCTCTGCTCAGGCACCCCAAATGCCATGTTGTTCCAGGCCTCTGTGCTGTTGCCTTGGCCTTGAACACTACCTCATCTGTCTGCCAAGATATATATATATCTATACATACACACACACACACACACACACACACACACACACACACACATACATGAAATGATTTCAGAGTCTGGTACAGAGTGGGTTCTTGGTAGACAGTCGTTCATTCCCTCTCCACCCTCTCCCATACAAGTTACACTTGTGTGCTTAGGTTTGTTTCTGCTAAACCGTAGATTCTGTGAAACAGAGCCTGTGCTGTTCTGCTTTTGCCCCTAGAGCTTAGCACAGGCCCAGCACAGAGCAGGTCCTTGTACTCCACCCCATCCACTCTCCTCAAGGCTCACAATGGTCTCCTCAAGGCTCACGATGTTCTCCTCAGGGACTCATAGACTTCTGTCAAATACTGAAGCTACTATACTGACATCTTGGCTCTCAAGAAAAACTATTTTCTAAATTTCTCAGTCAGCACCATTTGCTTAACACCTGGTGAAAGCTCTCTCCAACGGCCTCCTCCTTCCATGACATTATCTACAGAAGGTCAGCCCGAGAAGCCAACCAAAGATACATCTTAAAAGGGACTTTTCAGGAGATCTGGGTGTGAATCCCGGCTCATGGCTTCAAAGTCAGGTCATCCTACCCTCTCTGCAAATCAGCTTTCCTACCTGCACAATGGGGATTACCAAAAGCTACCATCCAGGCTGATGACACCTCTAGAAGAGCCTAGCACTGAGGCAGGCACAGAACAGACAGAAGCTGGCAAATGGCAGGTAAATGAAGGAATGAATCAATCCATAAAGCACAATGTTTAGCATTACACGACCAGAAAGAAAAGAAACAGAAAAAGCATGTGGTTTCTTCTGGGAGAGCAGGGAGGGCCCCTAGTGCTTTTCATTTAAGAGGGGGGAAAATCACTTCATTGCAAATTTTAGTCGGCTCCACTACCGATGTTGGCAATTTACATCTCATTATAACAAATGCTTCAGATTGCTGTTTTGCTTTTAAAAAATTTCTGAGGCATTGTTCTCCCTCAAACACATGTGACCAAATTAGCCACAATAATAAGCACTTGCGTTAAGAGACAGCATTGTACAATCTGGCGCAGATATTTTAGGTAACAAAGGAACATTTTTCACTTTGTGGGAAGACTAGGAATTAAAAAAAAAGGGGGGGCTTTGATCCACTTGCATTACGATATTGACACACACTTTAAGTTTATTTGGGGGAAAATACACCTTCCATGGAAAAAAACCTCTCAGTTGGGTAAAGGAAGCTTTTAAAAAGTATAAAAGGTGGTATTTGTCTTTTCATTGAATCATTCAAGAACCCATTCATCACGCAACCCCTGACTGCGTATCAAGATCCAGGCTCTGTAAGAGGCACTGGGGACCCAGAGACAAAGTATGTTCCTGTTCTGGGGGAGTTTAGATTTAACATGTGAAACACTATTATATAGCATACACATAACTCTGATTTAATGGACGAGCAATAGATTTAGTGTTAGAAAAACCTGGTAAAGATCCTGGTTCTGTTATTTACCTCTTTAAGCCCTACTGGCTTTTTCCCTAAAATGGAAAGCATGACACATGGTTAGGGTCTTTATAAGTGTTTGCTGGCACAACAAACAGATGAAATTACACCGTTTTCTATTCTCGTTTTATCGTAAACTAGGCTAATGCTCTTCTTTCTCAATAGCACAAATGTTTATGTTTGTGTGGCTTCCGGGTTTAGAAATCACCTATTTTTTTCAAATATATATGTGTTTGGACACTAAATATCATTTTTGGTTTCAGCTGAAATAGAAAGCTTAATAATATTAGATTTTTTTTTTTTAGAAAAAAGTACTAAATCCTTTTATTTCTGTAAGTAAATAGGAAATTTCTCTGTTGTACATACCATCCTATTTTCATCATAAATGCAAAGTAAATCAATTCATAATTCTGAAATGCATACAGAACATCTTCTGTAGCACAGGGAATACTGCATTTGGCAGAATAGAGATGATTTTACTGTCGAGAAGGACCTGTGCATGGGAATAGCTACCTAAAAATGAAGGAGTTGGCCGGGCGTGGTGGCTCACGCCTATAATCCCAGCACTTTGGGAGGCTGAGGCGGGTGGATCACGAGATCAGGAGATCGAGACCATCCTGGTCAACATGGTGAAACCCTGTCTCTACTAAAAATACAAAAAATTAGCTGGGCATGGTGGTGTGTGCCTGTAATCCCAGCTACTCAGGAGGCTGAGGCAGGAGAATTGCCTGAACCCAGGAGGCGGAGGTTGCAGTGAGCTGAGACCGCGCCATTGCATTCCAGCCTGGGTAACAAGAGCAAAACTCTGTCTCCAAAAAAAAAAAAGAATGAAGGAGTTAAACAAGGGCCTTGGAAAGAGACTAGGGAAGACACCTTCAGAGCTGGGTAGGTGGATCCCTGTCTGCGGACCTTCTCAGGCCCCCTCAGAAGTCATCAGCTGCTCTTACCTGCTGTTGTAGCTGTGCCTCTGTTTCTTAGACCCACTAGGCTTTCAGTGAAAGCAAAGACAAATCTGGTTTCATTCCTGTAGTGAGAATCTACTAAGTACCTCCTGAGTGCCAGCCCTAGGCTAGGTGGAACTGAGTGCTTCACAGTCCAGCAGCGGAAAGAGACAGGCAACAGACTGTCACCACCCATGTGGCTAACAAGCGTTAGGAAAAAAACTGGAGCAGAAGCAAAGGAGAGTGGGTGCTGCCTCTAGAGGAGACTAGGAAATCTTCAGAAGTCACAAACTTCTGTGTTGGGGCTTGGAGGATGAGAGGAGCTTGCTGGGTGTGAGGCCCTGTGGTGGGGTAGTTCTCATAAGGTGAAAGCAAGGGACACAAATCACAGGCTCACTGTGCATAGAAGGTACAATGTGATGATC